CCATTGTAATCCTGATCATAATTTACGGAATTTACAAAATGCTCCCAAAAATACTTGGAAAAGAAATTATGTCTTTTTGCTTTGTAATGTAATAGAGGGGCAGCGGGTATGCAAGAATGTGTGTAACAGGACACGGCATTGAATTTCAGATAATGCCCCTCCCCCGCACATGAAATGGTACAGTCCGCCTGTGGTGACCGCCTATTGTGACCCGCCTGTGGTGACCTACGCCTCTACGCGAGACTTCCCTAGATGCGTTAGCATTGTACACCTGCGCCCCCTATGTATCTGGACTTGATTTGCAGACATGGCGATATACATATTATGATCTTTGTCCTTAGATATGAGGTACTGTTGTCAACCGCTAGGCGGAGCTGCCCGACAACATGTACCTCTGAGTTTGTTCATAAATCATATCGGAATCCCAATCCATAAAGCTCATATGTTTTTATTCATCCATCTAATATTGAGATTTGCCACATTTGTGGAAAGATTGACATAACAAGTGACTATCACCTTTTCAAGATGTCAACCCTGAGACTAGACTGTGAGGTTTGAACCACTCACACCGGGACGGACCCCAATTTTTTTCTATCAGTATGTTTGGTTCTTAAACGGCTTTAGTTGTGACTCTCCTCAAACAAGGTACCCCCTGCTCTACCCCCATCCAAGAGGACGTCCCAAACTAAAGCTAGGTACTCATTTTTACATTCGCCGATTGAGAAAATAAGTGTAAAATGCCTTTTACCAAAGGTACAACAGTAAGGCCTGCTAGGGATTCCGGAACCCAAAACCTTCAGATTCCAATTTATGTTCTTCAAAGAAGTTCCTTTTTGCTTTTGTCCATGTTCCTGCCAAATTAGTTTAGTGCATCGTGAACAGGTAATAAATGGTAAGAGATAGTCACCTCGAGCGATTCGTTTCTTGTGTAAAAATACATCAAAAAGAACCTTAGCTATAGGCTACTTTCTTTGTGTTTCTCTTTTCCTAATGAACAGAAACGGTCTCTAAACAGTATGAAAGGACTGACTTGTAAGAAAACGTGGTGCTTCATGCTGCTTCGTCTTCAAAGCCTTGCCGCAAAGTTAACTGAGCTAAGATGTGATCAAGACAAGGAGTTCCGAAGTTTTCTCCTTGATCAAGCATAGCTGTGCGCATTTTCATCTATAGCCTCCATCTGGCCTTCCTACGGAGGTACGGCTCAGAGAATTCGGAAAAAAGGGGGGAAAACAATTTGCTTTTCCTCTACATTGGCTAAATTCTCCCTATTTAGCTGAAGTGTACCGACTTTTAATCTAGTATGATAGGGCTAAAAGAAACGGCTGTTTGAAATATGTACAGTTACCGCAATCTCAAGTTTCACTATTTCTAGAAAGGCTCTGAATATTCCAAACCTGTATCTACTAAGACCACTAAATACACTTATCATTAGAAACGTAGGACTATTCATTATTTTTAGACACTGTCCCCCAAAATGAAGTCAAACCGGTAATGTGTGTAGAAACATTAGATAGATCTATAGATTTTGCACGACACCTGCACTGCTACATCAAGAATATAATGTCCTATGCGACCGTACGTGCGATCGTACGTGCTTCGCATGCACGCGGCGCGGCGGCGGCTAGCTAGCTACTTAGTATATCACACCGAACGACTTGTTACACTCAATCTTTGCATATCTAATTGCAGTAGCTGTTTGACTTCTAATCATAAGAAGCCTGCATCGTGATATGAAAAACACAAAAGAAGCAGTTCCAGGTTTGCTGCAAATTCATACCGAAGGCCTACATGTAATTACAACGGAAATGATAGAACGGTAGATACAATGGCACCGGTAACTAGTAACTATATATACCACATCAGGTTCTAGTTACACAAAGCTAGCTTTGTTGGGTTCGACTACAACATTAATATTCCGCCTCTGTGTAAACTATTGATAGTTTACGTTTTATCAATAGTTTACACAGAAGTGGAATATTGTAGTCGAAGCCAACA